TTCTATTTTATTAAAAGAAAATAAAATAAGATGGGACAAAATAAAAACATGTTTAAAGTGACAAATTTAATGATAGCAAAAAATTTTCCGCTAACATAAGTATCACTTCATTGCATTATTGCATTATATGAGATGAGACTTGAATATTTATTACATTTAAAATTTAATATTAAGGAAAATATAATAATTACTGCTTTCTTTGCCGCGAACTTTAATAAGAATTTCGTTAGATGTGTTCGATTTAAGTTTTATTCGATTCGGACAACAGCGTACAGCTGCATTCGACACACATTCCAGATATATCGGTGCCATAATAGAAAGATTTGTCAAGCGAAGTACGCGTTGTGATAGTTGGCCGACTATTAAATCGCCAAAATAGAGGCTATCAGGTTCAATATGCAATTGTACCGTTTCTGCTTCACCATAAAGACAGAGTCGTATTATGTCGCCGGTTCCTGAATTAATATTTGATGCGCAGGATGTTGACAAAGAAGAAGTTTCCATTATTGGTTCTTTTTAAAATGCGTAATAAACAGTTAAATAATTAATTGAATAATTTCTTATGATATAATTAATTGAATAATTAATTGAATAATTTCTTATGATATAATTATGTATAATTTAGAAGTAATTTTTAAATTAATAAATATTTTATACAGAAAAAATTTGAACTGTATTAAAAATATATTTCTTTTAACACACATAAATTGATAGATGTTAATCACTCACGTATATAAATTCTCTGTGATAAAGGATTTTCCGTGACAGAATTTTTTACAGGATCAATCTCTGTAAAACATTATTTAGATAGTTAATTTTTTATTATAATATATACATTTTAATATTTCTCACCTGTTAATTAATTCTTTATTATATTATTAATATTATTGTTATAATTATTAATGTGTTTATCACAAGTTCCTCATTATTAACACTAAATATTTTATTATCAATTTTAATTAAGCTTTAAATTAAAATTTTATTAAATTAAGATATAGATAGAAAAAGAAATAATAATTAATTATAAAAAATAAAATACTATATTTCTTTTCATATTAATTCTAAAATATAATAATAGCATTATTTATGTATATATATATATATATATATATATATATATATATATATATTATAAATCTTTATTAATCTCTATTAATTTTTTATTTGTGCATTATATCCAAAAAATATAATTCTAATATATATAATTACATGTATCCACATGTATGTAGTGTTTTTTATGTAATTTAAAATACATATATTATACATTGTTATGATTTAAAAATGTATCATAGATATGCGGAACATTTTTTATAACTAGGAGGATATCAAAAATTATAAGTAATAAGACAAGATAAAAGAACAAATAAACGTACTGATGTTATCTTCTAATTCTCTCTCTGTACAATGTACTCTCATTATTCTAATAAATGCCATAAAATTTCTATTCTTTTGATTTTGACATCCAAAATCTTTTTGTTGTTTTTTCTGTCTCCATTCCGATAACACAATTATTGGCGAAAATCTACAATTATATGTATTATACATATATATTATTTTTATAAATGGCAATGTATTCTTTTATAATATATGTAACTTTATATTTGTGACAATGCGATAACTGCACTCACTTGACTTCGAAGATGATACCTTGAAATGGATTCATTCGCCCTTCAAATGGATAAATTTCAAAGACACTAAAAATGGGATTATGTTTGCGATCGATGTCCTACAAAAGTAATATAACTCTATTAATATATAATGTAGGTATATCTATTAAGTCAATTGATAAAAAATATCGAATAAGTAACAAAAAATGAAGGTAATCTTCTATCTGCATTTTGATTTTTAAAATTTTTATATCAGATTTATAAATTTAAATTAATTTATAATTTTAATTTATATTCTTAAAAATTCAGAAATTCTCAGTTCTATAATTCTATTTCTAAATTTTTGCTTTTACATCGAGTGCAGATGACTCAGAAATCGGAATCATTACCGAACTCTTTTTTAATAATATTAATAATAAGCTAGCTTAAAATTAAGAAAGGCACATTAATATTTTTTTACTTGACTACATATATAGATATATCTGGCTAACTGTACTAATTTCTATCATTTTTGATTGATATTTTTTTCGCTTACATATTTATATATTCCATATATTTGATAATCTTAAATAAAAGCAATATTTAAATAGAAATTGAAATAATTCTATAACAAATTTATTTCAGCTTATCAAGCGAAGAGCTTCCTAATTTTTATTTAAACAATTTTATTCTTTATAATTTCTAAATATAGGGGAATCTTAGACATTTTAAATTCTATTTTAGTAATTTATTAATTGAAATTTCTAATTTATTTGAATAAAATTTGTATTCTGTACCCGAATGCATTTCATTTCGTTATCGAGCTCGCCGAAAACAACATAATTACAGGCTTGAGACGAAATATTTCGTAAGACAAAAGTATCGCATCTACTGGTGTTTTCTATCGTGAGTGGAAAATCGATGAGGGTAATATTTCCAGTCGTATTTGGATGATAAACTACTAATCCTGGTGTGATGACACGCACTTTTATAGGAACACGTATGTTTGGAGTAGATTTAATCCTAGGAAAATTTGTTTAAATCTTTCTTCAATGGCAAACATTAAGTGACGTTCATTGCGAATGTCTTACCAGAATTCGCTGTAAAAGACACCCTCGTTTACGCCCATTAATTTGATTCGAAGTTTCAATTCTTTGTGTGGTTTGATTCTTCCATAAAGAGGCTGAACTATTATGTCTAGATCATTTCGTCCGAGATCAATCGAAAATCTGTGTTAATATTTATTTCCAAATTTATAAAATACATTTACATAAAATAGGTTTTTATTTAAGTCATAGTATTTTCGAAAAATCTCTAAGTTTATTCCACAAAGATTAAATAAGCTGAGAAGAGAAAAATATACTCGCAGATAAATATTGTGATTTGATTTAAAAAAATAATTGATATAAATTATTGACTGAAGAAAAATAGATATATCAAATATATATTCTTTAAAAATTTATCGGTATTACCCTATATTTATTATAGATAATAAAAATTTTACTAGGATTATTGTTCTCTTAAAGATTTAATTTACATTTATTTACATTTATTAATAAAAAGATTTAATTTATATTTATTAATATAACATAAATTATTGCCATAATTTGCAATTAAGTCATTTTATAATTAATAAATGAAAAAATTAGTGTATCTACAGTCCGAATTTGTTAGAAATAAATGAAATTGATATTTTTCTGTTATATAAATATTATAATATAATAAAATTTGTGTACGTGTTAATTAATGAAAACATTTCACTTAAGTTTTCTTCGATGTTTATGTAATTATGTATATATATTTATATTTTTATCAAAAATTATATGTTATGGGTTGGCAGTATATCTCTAATAAATAAATTGAGCTAACAATAAGGCAAAAATTATTATTTTACGCGAAATATGATTTTATTTCTAATGTTTAAACATTTTTCAGAAATAATACGTATACCTGATACTTTTACTTCCTTCATTGTGGATTGTTAATATTTTTAAGCCAGAGGAATAGCCAATGTCAATGGTACCAAAGTCTACCAACTTTGGTTCGATACTGATATGTCCAATAGCGAGTGTACATATCGCACGATAATCAAAAACTTTTCCGTTGATCTCGATTGGAATTATTGTATGTAATACAGATGGTCTTTTAAAAGTGTAAGTCACATATGTTGTTATGCTTAATCCTGGGCTCACTCGCATACTATTAGTCAAAGTTTTCACTTGAAAAGCCTATTAAAAAGAGCTTTATTTTAATAATAGGTTTTTATTTTGAAAAGAATAAATTATAATTTATTTGAATTAATAATATATTTATTTAAATTAGAAGAAGTTTACTAAGGAATTTGATTGACGAATTCTGATAAACGCAGGTCTATTTCCAATGTTTTTGATAATAATACGTTGTCGATATGTAACTCCTTCAAAAGCTTCGTCAAATTTTATATAACTTGGTGTAATATACACATCATCATATTTTACACCAGTTGCTGATTTATTTGTAGCAAGTACTGTGTGTATTTTTTCTTTTTTTTGCGTCAAGATTGGTTTACTCTAATTGTAAACATAATACTTTTATAACACAAATGTGTAATAATATTTCCGATATAAGCGTAAAAGTATTGTGCAAGAATCATATAAAATTAATATCCTGTATATCTAAATTTTAATTATAAATTCTTATACATATGGATTTATTAATAAGAGTTTATGTTTCGATATATGTGTGTGTGTCTTACGCACACGCATAAATATAGAATATTTCAATAATTGATTTTATGTATCAATCATAATATATTATATATAATGTATATCGAATTTATTTAATAAATAGTGTATCCAAAATAAAAAGTGATTTCTTGTTAAAAATGTAAAGAAACATAAAATACATTTTTTATTTATCTCATAAATTCCTTGACAAAGGATATTAAAGATAAATGTAATGTACATACAAATATATATTAAATAATTTATATATTTTCAAAAAGATTTCTTTTTTTTCTAAAGTTGATCTAAGAATATTAACGAGATAAGACATTTGCACTTTTTCGATAAATTCTTTGGATTTTATTTCCATTATTAATGTTTATAATTTGTATCTAGCTTGTCAAAATATTTTTTAATATTTTTAATATACTTACAGCTATTAGTGAACAATTTTTCATATTGATGTTTAAATGTATAAAATTATATTATCTATTGCAATATATTTATGATCAGGCAAATTATAGAATGATGTTTGAAATTGATATATTCTTAATTAAATTCTCTTTTCTATATTTCTGTTTTGACATATTATTAATATTTACTATAAAGGACTTTTAGGGAAATATTCTTTTGTTTTCTAGGAAAAAAAATAAAGATAGGATCAATGAAAACAATATTTAATTAATCGATATATATTTTTAAACATCCTGTATTTTTAGAGAGATACTGCGCAAATTAAATGAACTTATAAAAGAATCATATATGTGTGTGTGTGTGTGTGTGTGTGTGTGTGTGTGTGTGTGTGTGTGTGTGTGTGTGTGTGTGTGTGGGTGGATATTGATTTCTTTGATTGAAAAGCTTTTTCGAATTTATAAAGGTACGCGCAATATTAACTTATCACTGTTTTTAAACAATGATATCATCTCTGTTTGGTTGCCGATCTCGATCAGGTGGGCCAATTATTGATATATTCTCGATGATCGTGTTGATCCAATCGATATATATCGAAACCTATATATCAAATAAAGAAAATAATTTAACATATTAACATTATATGTGTGTATGTATTGAGCACTAATTATTGCTCAATAATTATAGTATAAAAAATATATAACAATAGTTTGAGCAGTTGTATTTAATTGTTTAATTGTTATCTTCCTTAATAATTATATGTAAATAATAATAAATGAACAGTCATAAGAATAATAATAAGATACTAAGAACTGAAGATTTATAAAAGATATCAAATATTGCTAAAGGAAACAATTTACGGATAATTAAAGTATATATATTCTTGATATAAATTTCATTCATATTTGTTAATGATGTTTGCAACTCTATATTTAGCATACCTTAGTGAAAACAGTATAGAAATTGGGATTGCATATGCTAGTGCCCAATCTTCGTGGGCTCACAGAGACGATTCCGTGAACTTCCCAAATGCTAGAATTCAATCGTTGAAGAAGTACCAATCCTCCGCCGCTATCTCCGTTGCATACGCCAGTGCCATTTGCCCATCCGGCGCAAAAGGATGTGTAAGTCAAATATTTCCAAAAATCTCTATTCTGATTTTGACGACATTTATCATCGGAAATAATTTTCATTGTAGTTATTCTTAAAACTGGACTAAATGTATCGTTCTCAGTCAATCCCATTCCTAAAATACTTTTAAGATTCTAGAAATTGTCAGGTAAAAACTGTATATGTAAATAATCAGTGCAAATAGTTATGAGAATCAATTATAATATAATACAAATAAATAATTAAACATAAGCTATCATACAAATAATTAAATAATTGAGATAAATTGTCATTAATCTAATTATTTATTCAATTTTTAATATTATTAAAGGAAACTTATTTTAGACTCTTTTAAGACAAATTTTGTTTTTTTTTTTATTTTTCCATCCAGTTTTAGACAAAATATAAATATTATTAATTTATTAAAATTTAATTATTAAAATATAATTATCATTATATATTTAACAAATCAAAAAGTAGAGATTATAATAATTAAATAATAATTAAATATGTATAATTTTCACATTTAGACTTTTAAAAATGGATCTACATTATCCATTAAGTTTTGTTATTTATCAAGAAAAATATATAAGATTATATATATTTTTTAAATTACATCTACTAGATTTTTTAAGCAAAATTTAAATTTACCAGCTACCAATCCAAATCTACCAGCTTCTTGGTATTCCGTCAATGTTGCATCCGAGCGCCAAGGAATACAAACGGGCCTAACAATCGAGTTAATGGTCACAGTTTCCTTCAAGATTAGCAATGCGATGTCTGAGCCATAGTTACTCTCGTGATCTTGATACGCACTCTGTAATTTAATATTTTCTACGTCGATCACCTGCGCGTTTTCCCCTGCTTGATTTAAATCACTCGAAAGGATCCCGAAAGCAACGCGCACTGTGTCTGCCGAGGTCTTCCAAACGCAGTGACCGGCAGTTAACACAATGCGTTCTCCTATCAACGTACCACCGCAAAAGAACCTCCATTGACCATTTTCGTGCGAGAAGAGGGTAGCTTGCCAAGGTAGTGTTTCTTCTTTTTCGACGCGCCATCCTTTTACGATCAATGGTGCCGCTAAATTTTTTTGTATACGTATAAATACAATAAATATTCTAATAATTACATACAATGACAATAATAAATACAATTACGTATTTTTAATTTTAAATTTTCCAAAATTGTAACTTGATAAGGCATTTTAAAAATCGGAATTATACTGAGCATCAAAGAAACTACAAGGAAATGATTTTTTGCGAAACGAAAAAAATACTTTTTTATTAAACTTTCTGGTATATCGATTGCCGAACCTGTGGAATCTCTTATCCCGCAGATAGGAATACAACTTAAAAATGATTGGCTCCACGTGCCGTCATGAAGGCATATAACGCTAGCCGATCCTCTGCGACGTTCATAGAATGCTGGACATTCGAGAAAAACTCGCGTACCGACTGGAAGGGCTTGATCGCAAGGTAACCATCCTTCGTGAGGACCCCACATCGCTTTACATCGTTTAATCGTACCGTATGCTTCAAACGGCGGCGGGCATGTTATTTCTTCGATTTCGTTTTCTGAAAAATGCATATTACATATGGCCAAATATAGTGAACCGTAAGCAATAAATAAGTATCGTTAGATAGTTATTAAAAAATATTTTAATTGGCATATTTAGATCACAGTATAGTAAAATCAAGTAAATATAATGAAATAACTATACATATAAATATAATGGAGTAACTATACTATACAACTATATTGTTTCCTTTAAAATATGTATTATAAGTAACAATATTTATTTTGTACTTTTTATTCGCTTTTTTTTACGAAAACATATTTTTTCATTGTGCCATAATTTTTATTAAATACAATATACAATTTCTATTATATATATATATACATATATGTCTTTTTATAAAATGTTATCTATATTATAAATGAAAATTATTTTGATGCCAATTATATAAAAAATAAAATTACTTACTAACAGCACAATTTGGAATACTGGGAAACCACTGGTTACTTTGGCAATAAATTCTATTAGCACCTTGCAAAGAACTTTCAATGTCGCAAGTATAGTCGAGCCATGTAAGTTCTGGAACAATATCGCCTGGTCGACATCTTGAACATCCGCTCACATTATAATGCGTTCCTGCTTTTGCAGCGGGCAATCGGCAAGCACCTTCAGGCAGCGTTATCGCGCATAAAGACTCGTCCTCGTCACTCCAGTCGTAACAATTTAACCGAGAATTACATTTCAATTCCGGTCGAATACATCCGCCGTAAGCGCAACGAAACCAATTTTCAGGACATCTATAGAAAATTTTAATGAATCTGTTTTGCCTTTTAATATGAATAGTTTCCACATTCTAAACGAAAATGTTTTACTGACAAACTCTTTTATTTCCATACACAATAATACATATATAAAAATTTGATTCTTTTTATAAAGTAATTGTTCCTAAGAACAGATTCTAAAATTTATAAGCAGGAAATTGAAAAGTGATATTGAATTTAAATCGAATCTTTTTGAAATACGTACTCACGTATTTTACACATTTTTGAATTCTCATCAGATGCATCTGCACAATGTCGAATACCATCGCATATTTTAGCTATTGGTAGGCACTGCTGTCTATTTTCACATGCAAATTCTTCGTCTCTACGCAAATAGAAAATGAATAATTTGAATTTTGACATATATATATATATGTGCCAATATAATTAAATTAATAAAACATCAATAAATCAATTAATTAACCAACCGGCATTTATATTGTGAGCATTTTTCACCTTCGCAATTAATAGTCGCACACATATTTGAATCTTCGTCGGTGCCGTCGATGCAATCTTTGATACCGTCGCAAATCACTTCTTGATAAATACAACCTCCATATAAACAACGGAATGTATATTCAGGACATGGGTACTCGCGACAAATTGTTGCGTTTTCATCGCTTTCATCCGAGCAATCTTTATATCCTGATAGAAATATATATATATATATATATATATATATATATATATTTCTATCAGGATATATTTATATAATAAATTCATTTCTAATTTTTATATCCAATTTTTATAATCTTTTATCGCAAATTAGAGAACTCGAAAATATCAATTTTATGCTCGGTTGATTAAATTAAATCAATCAAAAATCTAGATTATATCTATTCTAATTTATAACGCATACTATTTTTCATACGAATTGTCTTGTAATCATTAAAAGATATTAAAATTTAATACTTTCTCCAAGCTGGAATAGGATATTGTTGAAATCGATGACAAATACAGACCGTTGCACACATCGTCGAGAGATATGCACTCTCGTTGAATGGTAGAACATTGAAACTCTTTATCGGAACAAATATCGTTAGGATTTCGATTGCAAGTGATCTCATCGCTAGCATCCACGCAATCTACCAAACCGTTGCATCGCGATGTACGATTTACGCAAGCGCCATAACTGCATCTGTACATATTCATGGGACATCTGAAGAAAAGAGAGAATTTTCTATGACATATAAAATACTTTCAAAGTGCATTGACTTTAGAACATTATCAATATATTTTGTTAATCGTATTATAACGAGAAAATATGATATAAATATAGATTTGATATTTTCTTCGATATTAATGAAAGTTCAAAACATATGCGCGCGCATACACATACACAATTAGTCACAGAATTAAATACTGAATAATAAATATGATTGAACGATGGAATATGATTTATTACATACTATTTTAAAAAAACTATAGGGAAAACACATTTTTTAATTTTATCTTTAATAAAAAAGGTCACTTTGCACTATCCTTTATTATATGATAATATTAATGAAAAAATTAATGTATCTTCTTACACAACATGACGACACAGTGTAGCAACTTCATCCGAAGAATCAGGGCAATGAGGAATTCCATCGCAAGTATTCATTAATGATATTACAGTAGCATCCACGCAAATAAATGTCAATGATGAATATATTTGGCCATTTTCTTCCATAATAACGCATATTCTGTTAAATCCTATTTGCGAAAGTTAACGATTGTCATAATTATATCACAGCATATATTAAGGATATTTTTAATGGTACTGTTATGATGCATTTAGTCATACTACATCTACTTTATTACATGTAACTATACCAAAAATCACTATAATCGATATCATTAATGCGATCATATTTAAGAATTATTAATATTTGTAAAAATTATAAACTTATTCTCCTCGTAGAGGAGAACATTTATGCGAAAATGTGTAAGCCATCGTTTCTATATATACTTGTAATTATACCTAGTAATTATTCTGATACTCGTCTATGCATAATTTTTATAGCAGTATGAAAAATTGAGTTCTTTTGTTCATCTAATAATAATGAGACACTGCATGAATGTTATCTTGTTACTATCAAGAACAAAAACGTGTAGGTTATAAAACATACGCATAATATTATGCTTATTTGTAATTCATAAAGATATCTTTATATATTATTATTTTTTTTCTATTATCTTTGTCGGGCAATAATTGAAAGATTCGAAATGGGATAGAGTAAATTTATAATTTGAATAATTTATCTTATAAATGCAATTTGTTTAATAAATTTTATAAATATATAGTTTTATATAGTTTTTATCTTTAATCACGTTTTTTCTCAATTGTTAAAACTTTTGTATTTTATATTTTATTATATACATATGATACGGATTTAATCAATTATCTCTTTCTTTTGTATTTAATCAAATAAAATCACCCTCAATATCTTATTATTATAATTGTAAAAAATTGTTTACATTGATAATCTTGTTGGCCAAATTTTTGTATACATACTTATAAATGCATCTTAACAGAAACGGATATTAGTATTTATCTTGTTTAGATTGCCAATCTGAAGCAAAATGTACAGATTTAAATTCAATTAATGAACGTTATTCTTTCGAAGAAATATCCGCATTTAGTCATCAACATATTAACTGCTTTCGTGGAAAGTTATCGTCATTTGATAAGCGGATAATATGTACTATACTTGCGTATCTTATAATACAGTATCATGTCACACGAATCAGCATCTTGTGTCATAACGTAATTAAAGCTAATGCGTATACGATAAAATTCCAAAGATGTTTATTGCAAATTTTGGCGAGAAAGTAAAACACAATGATAGAAGGAGATTTAAAAATAAAAAGTCAATGTGAAAACATGATTTAATTTAATTAAATTATGAACATGCCTAGAATTACGCATAATTATAATTACAACTTGAACTTATTAATTAATATGATATGAGAGTTTTTCCTTATTTGCAATTATAATTCAAGGTGCAAAATTACATGAAAAATTAGAAGAAAATTATATAAAATTAAAATTAATTAGTATTTTTTTAGAATTCTTCTTATATGACATAAATGAAATTGTATATAGAATTTTATACATTGCAAAATTCTGTCGAAAATTCGTGTCTTGTGAGTTTCACATTATAAATTATTTGTAATGGATTTGTGAATGTACCATATTGTTCCCACGATCGTTGATTCACATTTTGCGTCAACAGTCCTTGAAGGATAGGGCAATGCGATTGCAAAATCACATAACAGTGCATGTATATACAGGGCGTGTGCGTTCGTTATCGGAATCTTCTTATCATTCGGTTCGTGTGAAGAGACATATGCGGCACACCTAGTTCCGCTTCTGCTATCCACGTTAGAAAGAAGATTCAATTGCTGTGGCAGTTTGTATCAAACTGTTGCTGGATTGCCTTCAGATCGATGATGAAAAATATCGTTTGGATTAGTCTCCTTCTTGGAGTCGCATATGCGCAACAGGAATGTAAGTCAACTTAATTTGCTAATACATATTATCTATTTTTGCTCTTTTACTAAAATTATGTATCTACTAAAAAGTTATGAGATTTGCTACATCTTTACATATTTTGTAGGGCTCGAGTCTATGATAATAATCTATAAATTCCATGTAAACTCTAAAAATATAATCTAACAACTATATAATAAATTAAAATTAAATAATAAATGTTGTAATGTATATTATATATTGTCTTAAAAAATAAATATTGTATGTGCACACACACATACACACACACACACACACACACACACACACACACACACACACACACACACACATATATCTCACACGTGTGATTTCTATATATACCAGCTAATTTAATAAACTTTTAAAAATATATTATATAATATTTATAATAGTTATTTGATAATAAATGCATATAAAATAATATTAAATATATTTGCATTTAATTTTTATCATGTTTTTCTGAAAATAAATCAGTTGCTTTGCGTATCATAAATTTTATATCGGATAGCAAAGTCTGATTCATTATATATTGATAAGGAAATCGCTATAGTATTGCTCATAACATATATTATAGCATTAGAAAATTATAAAAAAATGTGTAACACTCTAAATAATTTATGCTAAAAATATATCATATAATAGAAAAAATCACTATTTTTAAATCACTTTAAATCTATTTTCTTTTTCAATATTCTTATTATTTTCTTTTTCAATATTCAAATATGGATAAATAAAAATTCTAAGCATAATGTCAAATATAATTGACATAATATATCATAGTATTTGTGTAAAGGAAAATTGAAAAAGAAATAAAAACACTGTATATGTAACGCTAAAAATTATATATTTTTATATGGGTATGCAAAAATAAAAAATAATTTCTAAAAGATATTTTGTGGGAGAAATGTATTAATTATTTTCTTGTAATAGAAGAAAAAGAAAATAAATTTAAAAAATATGTATATATATATATATGTATACATTAAATAATAGATTTTTGTTTCATTATATTGAAAGTTATTATTTGAGATATATGATTAAATTTTAAAAAGTTTGAATAAGAAATTTATGATATTTATGAACATTTATGGAGGAGCATATTCCTTTTATATTATTAGACACTATCAAGCATTAGATAAATAGATACCTTGATAATGATTAAATGATAATTTCAATGAAATTGATATAATCTCATCGAGTGTGCATTACGTTTATTTTTTATATGATGAATACGTTTTTAATAATTGTGTAATGCATTTTTATATCAATGAGAATATATATTTATGTCAATTTTAATATTATTATACATAACGCGATGAACACGTAAAATTGTTATGATAAAAATTTGATAAAAGAATTTTTGAAAGAAAGGGAATATGAAGCACATGTCAATCAGATCACAAAGGAAAGTGTATTAAAATATTGAAAAATAAAAATTATCATTTTAAATATAAATGATATTGTAGTCGTATTACAAATCAATTATTAGTATAAATAAATATTAGAAATATCATATATATTACAAAGTTAATTTTATGTAATTTTACACTCAATTGTTTTAATTTATTACTGTCATGTAAAAATTTGAAATTTATTGTCCATTACTTGTAACAGTTATATAAATAAATATATGTATAAATAAATATTAAATATATATGTATATAAATAAATAATTGTAAATGTAGCAGTAAAAATTAATAAAACAATGGTGTAATATTGATTTTTTAACAAAAATCAAATATATTTTGAGTAAAAATCAAATGATATTTCACTAAATAGACATTAGAGAAAAAAGGGCGTTTATTATAATTTTTTATAAGTTAAGAAGTCAGACAACCTTTATTTTACTTCCATATAACATCATAGTTTTTTTTAAAGAGGGAGATTAATTTACTATCAATTATACATATTAATTTAAAAATTTGAATTTATATATATATATATATATATATATATATATATATATATATAAATCTTATTATAATTATCTTTTTTATTCAACTTTTATTATTTTTCAGCTTTCATAGCATTTTATTAGCTTATATATTAAAAATACATACTCAAAAATACATAAAATCTTCTACTTTTAGTTTTACGAATACCAAGAAGATTCGTCAATAATTCAATTTACACCGATCAATTCATGGTTTTTCAGATAAATTCTGCGCGCCTATAGATACAATAAGTGATGACGCGTGTTATGCTTTACAACGAGGAGAAAGTAAAGTATCATGTTTTCGTGTAACTGATAGCGCTGAATGCGCTATTCGCTTAGCTCAAGGAAAGGCCGATTTCGGCGTTTTCAATGCAGAAGAACTCTTGTTGGCATATCAATTTTATCCGTTGGATATCTCCCCTATTTTTCAGTTGAGACATAGGGAAAGGCAGGAAGGTAATACAAAGTTTTAAAAAGTTTTTGCGACAAAAAGAAGATTGTATTTAATTATTTCTTAGTGCAATGCTATTATATGTTTTAATTATCCGCGCAAATGAAAACCAAATAAAAGTAAGAAAATAATTGCACCATTTAAAGAAATAAGTATAATGTACGAACAATTTGTCATCTTCAAAGTGATTTTAAGATCATTAATGTTTTTTCAAATACATATTCTTAACTTAATAATGTTATAATATACTGATATTATAGAACGTGCGGATTTAATGGTTTATTATTATTTTACTTATATTTTACTATATTTTAGCGATATTTTGAATGTGTGTAAATATCATTTTAGGTAGAATATATATATATATATATATATATATATATATAGAATATATATATATATATATATATATATATATGATGTGAATTATTACTATAAAATAAATCAAAATTCTTTAAAAATATTTTTTCCTTGTGCAAACTTCAATAATTTTTTATCTTTTTTTTAAATATATAACCTAACTTTCACAGAGGAATTTGAATTCCAAACGGTGGCAGTGGTTCCCGCAGATTTAACGCAAAAGGCCGTTAGCCCTGATGAACGCCTCAAACAATTAAAAAATGGTGGCTTTTGCCATCCTGGTTTTAGTAAATCTCAATGGTGGAATGATTACATTCTCAAACATTTTGAAAGGACGGTAATTTCTCCGCATTGCCAAGATAATGTAACTGTCATCGAAAATGAGATCAGAAGTCTTAGAGATTTCTTCGGAAAAGCTTGTAGACCAGGTGAATGGGCTGCTGACAGTTCTATCGATCAAGAATTAAGTAAGTCAAGAGATTTATATTAAAAAAAAATTTAAGTAAATCGATATTACAACATTTACATATTATAAAGATTAATATAATTTTGACATATTGAGAGAGGAGAGAGAAAGAGAGAGAGAAAATTGAAATTCAATTATATTTGCTTTGAATTACTGGAAGTTGCTTTTGAAAGATATTTCTGAGATCTATTATTTTAAAATGTAACACCCACGAAATGTACCGTAATTTGTAGAATTTACATATATACTGCCTTTATTTTTTATAAAATACTAGCAAAAATTATAGTGAATTTAATTGAATTTATGTATTGATGCACATTAAAGACTTTCACATAGAATTTTTTTACAATAACGTAAGTAATAAAGTAGAAAAAAATTATTATTACGAGTTATTATTAAATATTATTATTAAATATAAATAATGTGTCAAACTGAATTATGTTAATTTAACAAAACTATCTCTTTTTTCATTGATTAATATTGTATTTATTTTTGCACAAGAAATCGTTTTTTAATTATTGTATTATGTCTTTTGAATAATTAATGCTTTTAATTATAAATTTTTTAAAGTTTTGTTAATAGTTTTCAAAAAATTAACGCGCATGAGTAAATGTAATTATATTTATTATTTCTCTCTTCGCAGAAAATAAGTATCCAGAATTATGCGCTCTTTGTGATAATCAAGCAACTTGTAGTTACAACAATAAGGAAAAACATGGACATTTCGGAGCAATGGAATGCCTAGCTCGTCATGATGGTAAAGTCGCATATGTAGCGCTCAACTATGTTCGTGAATATTTCAAAGTAAGTGAAAGATCTATTTTCAGGAAACGGATGTATTTCATCTCAGTTTTTGAAATTATTTGACATAAGAGTCACTGTATTAATTTATTTATATTTGTGTTTATTCTTTGTAATTATAATAAATTTTTTTATTGTTATTCAAACATTATTCTACATATGTTTCAGACAAATGCGACGTTTCAATTTTTATGTCCAAATGGTAATATTCTTCCTTTAAAAACCGAAACTCCTTGTGCATGGCTTAAACAACCATGGAGCGTCGTCGCAGCTAGAAAGTAAGCGAACAACGATATCTTTGTAATTTGTATTAATGTACACAAAAGGAATTAGGAGAAAAAGAATATTTTAAAGTAATTTTTTTCATCTAGTATTTAGCTTTTTAAGTTATATGTGTATGCAAGATTTAGAAAGAAATACACAAGAAAGATTTAAAACTTGAAAACAACTTATGATATCGATAATTAAATACATTTTTCGTAAAAATATAAATTCTTTTTTAATTTATACTTTAATAGATTTATTTTTTACACAATATAATAGTACTTATATTTACTTAGAAAATATTTAGAGATACTTATATTTATATCAAGGGGAAAATTAATGCGATGCGACTTTTACTGAAAATTATTTTATATAAATAATATATCTTTTTTTTAATAATCTGCTTAATTACGCTTTGTTTAAAAATCTTTTTACTTTTTAGGGAAATTGCAAAAGATCTTAAAATTGATTTGTGGAAGTGGCTGAAACCATCATTACCATTTGGATTTAAAGAAAATGATTGGGAAATTGCTTTAAATAAAATTATACAAGATGATAGCCGAGCTTTTAATCTTACGGAAATGTCTTTGGCTACGTACTTAAGTAAAGGAAGGGAAATAGATATCTCAAACATTGAGACCTGCGGCAAAACTATTCGTTGGTGCACAATTGGTGATTTGGAGACTAATAAATGCAGATGGGTGGCGAGAGCAGCGAGAGCACTCGATGTACAACCAAACATTTCTTGTAGCAAATCAAATTCCACATTCGAATGTTTTCGCGATATAGCTGAAAATCGAGCAGACATAATCACTATCGATTCTAACTATGGTTACCTGGCGCGAACGTAAGCAAAAATTTTAATATATATATATATATATATATATATATATATATATATATAATAAAACGTTAAGTAGAACATTTATAAAAAAATTTATTACACATTATTTAATATTCTTCTTTACATGTATACAGCGTTTACGGCCTATCAACGATTCTGTATAGTGAAACTGAAACGGACAAAAATAGTGTGATAATTTCGGTAGTCCGCGAACCTAAGGATAACAATTATCCAATAAAAAATTTTCACGATCTAAAAAATCGAAAAGCATGTTTTCCAGAATACGGTGGAATTGGTTGGTTAAATTTTATCAATGTTGCAAGATCGAATGGCATTATTTCATCCAAGTCTTGTGATTATCCATTATTGGTGTCCAAACTGTTGTCTGGCGCTTGTAGTCCTGGGGTAGAAGACACCGATCATACGCGCACTCCTATTTCTTCAGATGTATCATCAAAGTTTTGTTCAGCATGTCGATATCAAAATAATACCTCTTGTGCAGTAAACGAAACTAATCGCTATTATAGTGATGAAGGAGCCATGAGATGTCTTAGCGAAGGCGCCGGTGATATTGCATTCGTTAAGGCGGCAAATATTATCGGTATCAAACAACATAATTTTTAAATATATAATATATTATAAATATATAATCGGTAAAAGATTATCTAGCTCTACAGATACAATAAAAAAGATTGAAAACATTTATATATATAAGTTTAAAATATTTACAACTAATTATTATTTTAGAGAAAACCATTGATTCGAATATGTACCGTATCTTGTGTAAAAATGGAAGTTTGGCTGAAACTCCAGGATTCAAATTTGACGAATTTTGTGCATTATCAGTAACAATTGATAGCGAAGTAGGTATAATTTTTTTAAAATTATTTAATTTATATACATATATACATATATTTAATGTCTGTGTGTGGGCGCACGCGTACATCTATATATCTGTTGTGCAGTGTATAAAATCAAATAAATTGCAATGTTTCTTTCAGCTTGTTGGTCGCAAAGACGATACGCAAATTTTTAGAACCGATACTTTTCTGGCTTTATTGAAGTTAGAAAATTGGTTAGGATACCGCGTAAGCCCTCGGAGATCAATTCACATTTATGGTCCATTCAATGGGACGTTTAATCTCCTTTTCAAAGATTCCACGTCTGGTTTAGTTTCTACATCATCGATGAAGAAATCAGTGCTTGCTTATAAAGAGCTTTTTAGTCACGTAGATCAGTGCTCGACTGGTTCTTTTGCAGCCACTACTAATTTCGTCCTTGTTATTCTAATTACTCTTTATCATTTTTTTTTCAGCCATAATTAATTATATATTATTAATTTAACTTTATACCCGACTATCACTATGTATTTTCAATTATAATTATTTAACATTGACCAACTTTTATACCATTTAAAAGATAAAAGTGTCACCACTATTTTCCTTTATATTATAAAATAGAAAATAAAAACAAACATTATTACTTTTCTATTCATCGAAATTTCCATTTATTTTTTCTTAATTTTTTAATATACATATGAATATACATGTAATAATTTTTTATCGTTTAAAGACATTGTTACGTTGGACAAGAGAATTTATTTTTGGCTTAATATTATATATTTAATTTATATATATATATATATATATATATATATATATTTATACAGTTACATATAAAAAATATATATATGTATATATATATATATATATATATATATATATGCATATACGTGTGTGCAAATAGAAGCATGATATCGGCAGTATTTTCATTATATTAAATGACAATTCAATTTGTGATTGCCGTTTGATTTATCAATCAAATTTTTTTGAAAGTTTTGATTGTCACACATACATTTACTACTAAGAGAGATCGTAATTGAATCAGCTCTTCTCTCAGCCAATGCCATCAAAAGTGCATGATATTCAAATTACTAAAATTACTTATTTTCAATTATTTTTAAAATTACTTTTTATTTATCTTTGATTATTTTTTAAAAAACGATTAACTCTTACTATGTAATTCATTTATGCCTTTGTTTTTATTATTATTTTTTCAAATTGTTTCAACTCTTCGTTTAATTTTTATAATTATTTTATCCTTGTTTAATTGTACATGTCTTATTTTTTAATATATTTTAATTTATTCAAAGATATAAGCCTATCTATTTCAAAGCTACTATTTAAATAGAAACAGTACACACACACACACACACACACACACACACACACACAAATAAAGACACACATATAGACCTATATACACTATTCATTTTATAAATATCAAAATCAATTGTATATTTTATAAATACAAATTATATTGTATATCTTCTCTAATTTTGTAATAATTAAAAGTAATTAAACTTTTATAAAAAACAAATAGTCGATTGTGTATCGTTGGTATTGACGTATCTCATACACAAGTTCATTCTTGTTTCGTTCTAATTTGTGTTGACGTATTTCATACACAAGTTCATTCTTGTTTCGTTTTAATTTGTTTCCTCAAAATCTCATCTTATCAAAATTGTTCCTTATCATCGATCCCTTATTGTCTACTTTTTATTTACTGCATTGTCCTTTTTTGTCACATTAAAAGAATGATTAAAACATAAATGCATCAACGTTCGTTCAGTGTCAACAGCTTCGATTATCCTTTGAAATGTGTTGGCATCAAGACCAGCGAAAGATCTGTCAGGAGCCGCGAGCACACGCGGAAGCGAACGTCTTCTCCGTCGTCGTCGGCGAAATAGATCGTCAAAATAATCATCCGTGGTTGGTGGATTCACTTTGGCATAGTAAATTGCCGCAAAACCGCTATAAATTAACAAAGCCGCAGTCGCGAGCTGATGCAAGCGATAGCATGTTATTCAAACAAACTCGAATGATTATAAAGAAAAATTAAAGCGGATAAATTTAAAATTACTTGAAAAACGGCCCAGAATTTATAACTGCCTTCGTTTATTAGAAAGTCATAATAGCCGGCCCAATAATCAACTTTAGGTTGACTGATCGCCTTCATGTGATTGTGATCGTCCTCGTCATCGTCATTCATCATCATGGTATCATCGCCATGATCTTGATAGTCGGTATTGTCTCCTCTAGTATTATAATCCTGTCTATAAGCTTTGCTTTGTCTGTAGACAAAATGTATTATATGATATTAATTTAGAACAACAAATCATTAACCGTCAACTATTATGAACTCGCATGTATTGTTTAATTTTTATTTTACATTTCTTCCTACATATTAAAGATTCAACTACGTTCGATTAATATAATTATAAATTGAAGTAAATGATGTTAAGAATAATAAAATTTAAATCATATGTTTACCTGATAGGCTGCGCAATTGTAACTAGATCAAAACTTTCTTTAGATGTTCCTGTTTTCGAAGTCAATTCTTTCATATTCTTAATTTCGCTCGATTCAGCAAATGTGTAATAGATGCAAATTAATAGCAAAACAAATTTACAAAGTAATCTGTTGCTTACTGAATCTGAGGAATTAAGATATTATCCATATAATAAAAATATATATATAACTTACAATAAATATATTAAAATATACTAATAAATTAATTAATATTTTTTCTTACAGCAAATGAAATACTAACTCATGTTAATTTTTAAAATATATATATTGTACTCTTTATTGTACCCTTATTGTTTCGCTTTCTTATATACACAATGGGCACCATCCCACTTTAACAATGCACTCTGTTACATATGGAATTCTTATTAGTTAGAAGTAATACACAATGCAAAGCTTCAAAGAGAAAAACCTTTAGCTATCAAAGTCTGTCGAGAAACTAAACGATTCGTGGACTTAGTTTCAATACCAACTTTGTTCGGTATTCGCGAACCGATAACTGTATCGACGGTAACGTTAAGTAAATCCATAAGCGCTAATAGCTCTAATTGTTACGGATCTTATGCATCGTCGCTTAGAGGTAGAATACGTCAATACATTCAGCAGCATCGAGTTTGATTGATCATAGCTTCCAAATAATGTTGGTGATGTTGTTTATAAGCCGCAAGATTCTTAAAATCATATATTATCAATTATTATTTTTTATTATTACACGCTGCTACATGTAACGTGTATATCTAAAACTTGCTAAATACTTATCAATTTCAATTTTAAAATATCAATGAAGTATGTCAAGGAATAGATTAAGTTATATTATTACGCGTACAAGCGGCTAAATAGAGAAATATTTATTTTATTTCAAATCTTTCTTTTTAGCATATTCTTAGTTTTGATTTTGTTGAAATGATATTCTAAATCTTGTCCCTTTATTAACAATTATTTATTTTATCTGCATATTGTTTATAACAATTTATTTAGCAACATATTGGAATATTTCATGTAGTATTATATTATATGCGCTTAAAGAATCGAGAATTCCGTGATTTTAAGAAATTTAAACAATCAAGAACTATATAATATCGCAATTTAAATCATTAGATTACTTAACAGCTTCTTTTTAAAATAAGAATCCTTCTAGAGATAGAAGATTTAAGAATCTGAAATGCATTATTACAATAATAAAAAATTAATTATCAAGTGCAAAATTATTAATATCTTGTTTATTTATAAATAAATGATTAAATGAGTAGACAATAAATCAACTGTAACAAAAAAATAGGTATAGAAATAATAAATACAATTGTAACTACAAGTACAATTTTCTCTTTCTCTCTCTTTTTGTCTCTCTCTGTCTCTCTCTGCAATTTATTTCAAAACAAGTATTAACTTAAAACTAAACAATAAAAATAATTTGACATTTAAATAATGATCATTGATTAACATATAGTTAATCCAAGACATTATAAATTATATGAATATGTATAAAATATATATTAACAAAATTATTACATATTTTTATGATAAATGACATCTTAACGACACGTTTTACAAATTTATTTTTATTAACGATACGTTTTACAAATTTATTTTTATTTTGTTCTTCTATCGGTTTCGCTTACTAAAAATTACAAATATATTTTTTTTAACAGGAAGAGAAAAGCAATTATTTACATGCATTGATATTTTTGTAGGATTTTTTCACTGATAACTCATCGTTGAATATGATATTATCAATTTTTCGAATTTTTATATTTCGGCAAATCGTTCCACTCCTTCAAGTATTTTTTCGGTAAAAGACCACCATCCTTCATTCGAATCGCTTCTTCCCTGCGTTGCAGCCTCTGCTAGTTGTACCGGAAAGTTGATCTTATGCCTGGCGACACTTTTTAAGACAAGCGCGGCTATGTATATGATAAAATAAATACTAAAGTACAGAGGTATGTACCAAAGCTTTTTTCCTATAAAGTAATACGAGTATGGCCTTTTGTCGAGTCGCTGATCATTCATTTCCGGCTCCTCCGTTGTAGTTTCATGATGATGATATTCAGGTATATTATCATATATTATGTCGTGATGAACATCATGTGCATACGGATCATGCTCCATGAATGAGGGCGGATGTTCATAATAGTTGGCAAATTTCATGGGCTTTGATTCAAGCTCGTCATTTGCATATGAAGGAGCCACGCCGTAAGTAAGGTAGTCAGTTTCATGTTCGGTATTATATTTGTTTGGCGGTGATTTATAGGAATCCGGAATCTATTCAATGAAATTCAAATTAGACATTTGAATATATTATAAGGAGTGTATTTGATAGAATCTCTGTATTATTAACATATTTATTCTTAACATTTCTTAACGTTCATTTTCAATATTTGTATAACTGTTAATGTCCATATTATGACATTTTTTGCTCTGTTTCTTATTTTATATTTGTTACTTAGCCACACTTGACTAAAAAACATTTTTATTATGTGTATAATGCGTATTGTTATTAGAATAAAAATAAAAACTAGGAGAAAAAACCGAAACTTGTGAAAAAAGGGAGAGATTGTTTGATCCCGTCATAATAAGAAAAATTAACTGTAATAGAGATAGACAGTAAAAAGAATAAGCAAACTTACTGATTTATCTATTAAGAACTAATAATGATAAATATTGTTATGAAATATTATATTTACATACTTTTTTATCGTCCGTAGATGGATATTTGCTTATCATTGGTTCGGACATCAGTGATTCATCGTCGAGAAATTTTGTCGGACTATATTCGTACATATTAGGAAAGATTGGACCGAGAAAAGTAGATGAATTTGTGTTTAAGGAGCTTTCTGCATTTGAGTTTCCTTTTGACGGTTTTCTGTTTGCGTACGCGACGTTATGCTCAAAAATTGCAGGTGGATGAAATCGATGTTGAATCAATTTTTTGCTCACCGTAGCATCGAGTTTGGCTATCATGTCATTATCTAACGTGGAATATCTAGACATAAACATAATAGTCTATTAATAACAAATAAATTATCAATACGTTTTTACTACTTTATATTTGTATATATCAATACTTGAGCTTTTTTACTTCGGAGTGATTGGATAATCCACTGCTTCTCCTTTCTTTAATTTTGGAGTTCTGGATGGCACGTAAACAGGTGATACTGTGATAACGACATCGGCTATACTCCTCCCTTTATTTTCGTTCATCAGGCTCGTATTGTTTTTCATCGAATGCCTAGATGCACAAATATTGCTCACAATCAGTATATATATTTGATTTTTTAAAAATAAAATATCACAAAATATATCTAATTGTATTTAGCTGTCAGTAATAGTGTTGAAATTAATCTCGATATGCGTACCTAGTTATCCACGAAAGAGAATCGTGAGAACTTCTTGCTAACTGTCCGTTCTTTGATACTTTTGCGTATGATAATACTTCTGACGCTATGACAGAAGACAAGTGTACGAAGAAAATCAAAGATAAAATACGTAACATGCTTGCTGATTGTTGAAAATGAATGACTGTGGTCTTGAAGCGAGTATCCTCTATATAGACTTATAACTGTAATTATTATTTGTACAATCGTAAATGTATTGTCTACGTGCATTTAGTTGTAGCAGACAACATTTAAATCGTTTTATTATTGTTATAAGTTGTTTAATATCTTTGTCATTCCATTTTATTCTCGTTCATAGTGAAATTGATGCAAGTCAAATTGATGCAAGATTGCACAATATTGATATTTTTTACTGTATGTATATAGTCATTCTTACAGACAAAACTTATCCAGCCAGTGCAATCGCGCTAAACAGGAGAAACGACGCTTGACAAAATCACTCTAATTTAATTTACAAATCGCTTAACGCTCCGTTATAAGTATTCGCATTTGTATATTACGAATCAATGAATTGTCTCAATGTCAAAAAAGAGAAAATAATCTCAATATATTTCTACGAATAATAAAACTTTTTAACGGGCCGGAATATGATTATCTAAAAATATGTATTAAAACGTTCAATTTATTTAGAAACTTTTTTATTTCTTTTATTTTTACATAAAATCAGTAATTTTCAAGAAAAAAAATACGTTATCATGCACAGCACGATGCTAAATAACCTAGGTTTCGAATTACGAGAAGTTAAATTTTAAAATTAAAATAAAATTAAAGTAAATGTTGGAAAAATTGAAACAAAAACAAAATTATAATAAAAACCTAATTTCTATCACCATTTTTGAAAAAATGTAACTCCACAGGGAAGGCTGTAAGAGTATATGTTTATATGAAAAATCCCCTTTAATTTTCGACAAAAAATCATCTCTTAAAATTTTTCGCACTTATTAAGAAACACCCTATATGTTTTATTTGTATTTTTATAATAATATATAAGTTTAAAAGGATATTTGATCATTTATTTTAATGCAAAGAAGTAATACATATAACATTCATCAAAAATATATTGGTAAATATGTATAAAAGAAGATTTAGTTCCAAGATCTTGATTTTTTGACATATATGATGTCAAGATCATCATCCTGAGTATTCTTCGAAAACTTTCAGCGTCGCTTATTGTTTATTTAAAATTTATTGACAAATAAAGTCTCATACAAATCAAGATTCTAACAAAAATTGATCACAAAAAATTTAATATTAAATAACAGAGTATGTGTGTATCATCATTATATTATACATCCACACGCATTATGTTATGCACACGCACATAAAAAAAATTCTAAATTTAATAAAATTATGAACATAAATTCCATTTATTGTATATTTGCATATTTAAATGAATGTGTGGACGGAAGAAAAGTTTCGCCTCTTCCCCCCTATCACGAAAAAATTTTAACTGGATTATACTAAAAAATGGACTCTCAAATAACAACAATTTAAAAAAATTAACAAGTAAGAGCTAATAAGGCGCATCAATTTGTTATTCATTTGCTTTTTTGGACAATTTATTATTTTGTATGTATATCTTTTATTTTTCGTGTATATCCTTTATCCTGATTAAAATAAAAATCCTTGATTATCTAAACCATTATTTTCCATCAAAATATTTTTGTCCTTCTTTATTCGTTCATCTTGTGGTTTTTCATCGAGATTAATATCATTTGCATGCTTATCAAAACTACTGTGTGCATCAATATTTTTCGATTTTTTTTTTACAATATCGTTGCCTTCGAACTGAGGCTGCTTTTTTAGATAAGTCATATTAAATATAAAATATATTATGCCAGTCACTAAAGTTATCATAGCGAATATCTGATAGGTCGGTCTAGTACCAAAAGTTTTCATTAGATAACCACCGATCAAGCTTCCAGAACCTTTGCCTATAAATATCAAAATCAATAAATTAATAAATATAATAAAATTTATCAATAAATAGTAAATAAGTTAATAAAAATAACTTAATAAATAAGTTAATAAAAATAATAAATTATAATAAAAATTATAATAAACATTATAATAAAAATAATAAAATAATAAAAATTAGTAAAATTTCGATAAAATAGCGAAAAAATTATTTATCGATCATTCATTTCATCTGCCTCGTAATTCAATGTGTATGTGATTTATCATTTTAGTCTATAATATACAGGATGTTTTGGTAAAAGTATATACAAAGTGTTTCATTAAAAATAATTTCTCGTAAATATATAGAGCGAGAAAAATAATCCCATAAATTCTTATAAAACATTTTTTAGAACTTATCTTTACCAAGATATTTGTCTTTAAAGTTAAAATTGGAGCATTTTTCTTAAATAACTTTAATATCATATGTGGATTTTAATAATTTGTAATTATATTTTATGTTAAATAAAGATCTTTAAAAATATAGTAATAGAGTGATAGATTTCTTGATGCCATCAACAAAGAACCAGGAATAAATTATCTATATAAGCCTTTTAATTTACAAATACTTTAATTTTTACAAAACCAATAGATTATATATATATTTTTAAATATATTTGTAGATTCTCCATCATCTTTAAAAAAAAGTGACTCTTGTTTCATTTCGTCAAAATTGTTTTCAAAAAAAATGTATTTGATCGATAGAAAATAAGTGAGGATGATAATAAAATGATGATGATAGAAGAAACATTATAGAAAAAAAATTTATAGGAGTTATTTTTACCAGCTCTACATACATGCTTACGAGAAATTGTTATCTTTATTGAAATGCTCTATATGTGAAAGTCAAAATCGGTGAGATGTAATCTTTTCGCAATATTTACTGAAATTTTATTATATTAAATCGTGTTCGTTATATTATCAAAAAATTTCAATAATTGAATGAATCTACATACCAACTCCGTAATAAACACCGCCAAGCAATCCTTGTATCGAGCTATCGGTAGATATAGACGATAATTTCGCCGCGTAAGTAACGGCTGCAGTGAAACTAAGAGATGACGTAACTGATTCCAATGCCTCGAAGATTAAAGTTAACCAAGGATTATAAACTAAGGAATAACCTGTACAATAGAGTATTTTTTTATTATTCTTCTAAATGTATGTATCTTTGTGTTTATTTTATCAATTATTTCGAATCATTATTAATACTTACCATAAAGTCTGATAGCATAAAACACAAATCCTATGAAAAGCACATTCGCGTGACCAATTTTTGATATTATTGGTCCCGAAAGCGCTAATAATGGTATACCAGCGATACCACCGACGGTCACAGTAATACCCATAAGTGAATTAGATCCTCCTAAATCTTGTATCAACCAGAAGAGGAACGATTCGATGTATCCCCAAGCAGTACCTATTAAAATATTTTTTATTGTTTTTATATCATTGTTGTTGTCTTTTGTTTAAGTTATATGTCTCGAATATCTTAATAAAAAAAAAGAAACTCAAACTACATGATACGTTCAATTGAAACATAGACTAAGAATTATTTATAAAAATCATTATTTTATAAAAGTCATTATTTTATAAAAGTCTCAGTCTACGTTTAAGTTGAACCTAGTACATTATATTATAATTTGATAATCTACCAAGAACAAAGCAAGCAAGAAAGAGTGCGGCAGTTTCAATGTTTTTCAGAACAATAAAGACGTCATGTACAACATTACTAGCAGGTGCTTTAAATTCTAAATTAATCAGCAACATAAAAACACCTGATATTAATTTCAATGCTGCGTATAAATAGAATGCAGGCCTGAAATATTCATAAAATTTCTTATTTTAGATTCATTTTTTTATATTAGACTCAATAAAATTTATTATAAATAAGATATATATGCGATTTGTAACAATTTATTATAAATTATTATAAATTATTATAAATAAAAATCACATATATATTATATAGAACATTTTGAAAACAAAAAGTTTATTATATATAAAAAAAATTTTATTCACACACAAAATATTTTCGATTTATTTTTGCATATAAAATTATTTCCTTGTCAATTGTATCAGCAATTACGAGATTTATCTTGTGCATTATAATAAATTTACTCACCTAAAATCAGTATATCCTTTATCTTTACTGGCATAATCTATAAGAAAACCTGATAAAGGTGAAGAAATCATGCCTCCTATACTACCATAAATTCTTTGAAGACCATAATCTGCTTTCTGCTCTCGTAATATCGCTATAACAGCACCTTCAAACATAGCAAACGTTGTACCACCAATAATACCTGAAATAAAAATTGTATATCTTAATTCTTTAATATTTTGTATATTCTTATTCTTTAATATTTAGAGTTTATATATTTACAGCTACAATTTTATAATATTTAAACAATATTGTGGTAACTATAATAATTAAAGACGTTTTATTACAATTATTTAGAGAGAAGGGGGGGAGAGAGAGAGAAAGAAAGAGAGAGAGAGAAATTGTGACTTGTGACTTGAAATTGTGACTTGAAATTTGTACTAACCTATGAATACTCTAATGATGAGATAAAGCCAGAATGTCAAACTTACATTATATTCAACTTCTATATTCATGTTAGAACACATTGATTTGCGAGGTACAATAACTATACATTTTTTATTGCATTTATTCGTGCTTAGAATTTGCTTAGTTGTTTTTAAATTGGCATCGTAATCATAAAGATACACATCTACTGTGACTTGATCATTTATATAATTATTATAATTATTATTATCTGAATCATCACAAGTAACTTTTTGAAAATCTTCCTTTGCCCAGGCTATTTCCTCTGCCAAGTATCTTTGTCGTTCTTGTTGTAAATCTTCTTCATCTGATTTTAAACTTTTAATTTTTGATTTGTACAAATGATAATTTATTGTTTGGTTGTTATTATTCTAAAAAACATAATTTTGCATGATTTTAATGTTTATGTTTTTTTTAGATTTACATACAATCTTAACATTTATTGTAAAAAAAAACTTAAAAAAATTACAATATGTGAAATACGTGAACATGAAGATAATGTTTATAATATCATTCATATCTTTGAATATTTTTAGATATATACAAATGTCGCTACGCGAACCTATCTATTATTTTTCCTATACCTTTGGTTTGATTAAATAATCGAAAGCACACAACGTATGATTTTTGCATTCATACAACATTTCAGTAAAATTATCAAAATCTTGCATGCATTTCGAGATACATGAAAATGAAAGTAGCTGATCAGTTGGAAAGTAATAATAAGTTTTTGAAATCCGTCGAATGGCAGTTTTAAAAAATTCATCATTTTTTAATTGTCGATGCTCTTCTATATTTTCCTGCTGATTAGAACTCTGCAAATTTTAAAATACACACAAAAAATGATATGTCCTAATATAATTGGATTATTTTGGATAAACTTTTTCATTAATGTATCTCTTTCTCCTCCTTAGTTTTCCAATGATTTTCACATTATAAAGGTTTTACATTATAAAAGTCACGATTTTGATTAAATGTTCGGCTATTTATTATTAAATATTCTTAAAGGATAGAAAGAAAAAAAAATAAAAACTGACAAGATTTATAATTTGTACGGTGCCAAATAGATATGCAATTATGTATGTATGCAAAGGTCCACTATATGTTATCCAATATCTTTAATGCAAAACAAAATCTATAATTATATAATTTCATATATAAATTTTTAGACACAAGGTTCTATTATTCTACGACATTCTCTAATACTAAAACGATCCTCTTTTATGTTATCTCTAAATGTTCGAAAGCACACACATATATACTCATATATACACTCATACATCGGGCTAGAAATTACGTGACTTTACGCGAAAAGTTGTAAGTACATATACATGATTTTTATAAATCTCATTTTGCACTGAAAACATCGAATAATGTAGATAAATTTTAATTGTAGATTTCTCGCTTTACATCCAAAGAACTATTGATGAATGAAGTAAAGTGGACTTGTACGGAAAACTACAAATTTAAACTCGCGAAAAATTGAAGTTTCACCTCGTCAATATATCCATTTCTTAAATTTTTGACATTTTTGATGTTTATATAATAATATGCAAGTGCTATTATAATGTACATATATGTATAATAATGTTTATATAATATGTATCCAATATTGAAATTTTTTATGTCAATTTACTTTCAAATCTCGCTTTGCATCTTTATTTGTTAACAAACTTAACTTAATTTATTAATACTTTTATAAACAATGAATTACGGTTATAATTTTTCAAAAAATATATTTATATATTCATAAATTGCAATCTTGACAATTTATATATATATATATATATATATATATATATATATATATATCAACGTCAAGATGATTAATAAGAGACTACATTAATGTAAAAGTTCATCATATTTTGTTGTGAAACAATAAATATCTAGAAAATTAAATTTGGACGCTAATAGCGAATTTGATCAATACACCAATATATACTGGTGCACATTAAAAACTGTACAAAAATTTACAATAGATACAATAAAATTTACAATAAAATTAATTATTACAATTAAAATAATAAGATAATTATAAAAATTCTATAAGTCATATACGTTATTGTTATTATATATTATACAAATAAGTGAATTCGATATTTTTCTTAATGTAATAAAAAACTTCTTCTTCAAATATTTTTTAATAGAACAGTAAATAATATTATATGTATATGCTTTTTTAGTCTTGAAATATTTTTAATTAGAAAATTAAATATATAATATATAATAATATGCATATCACGCGAGCGCTTTTATAATAACTAGCATGCAATATTTAATTCACCACTTATTTTTTTGATATTAAATATCAAATTTTCATTCGTTAAAAGACAACTTGTTAATATACGTTCAATGTAACATACCATTGACAAGTTATTTTGCGCAGGAATGTATTTGTACAAAGTACTTTCATCAGTTTGAAAATTAAAATGTCTGACCGTATAAAGTCTCGATTTTAAAATCAAATTATGATCTGTTTCGTTGTCTGTTTCCACGTGACACATGAATCTGTATTATGCGCAAAAAAATATATATTAATGTTTAAATGTTTGTACAACATTTTAGGTAATTTTAGGTAAAAATGGCTTGAAAGAAATCAATTAAAATGTCATTCAAATTTGGTAAATAATTCTCTGACACATGAATCTGTATTATGCGCAAAAAAATATATATTAATGTTTAAATGTTTGTACAACATTTTAGGTAATTTTAGGTAAAAATGGCTTGAAAGAAATCAATTAAAATGTCATTCAAATTTGGTAAATAATTCTCTTAAATGTGAATATTATTAAAATGTCATTAGCAAGATTCATAAGAATTCAACATTTGTTTTACTTGAAATTAAGTTGTTAAAGTGAAACAAACAGGAAGACAGAACACTTGTATTTACATTATGTGTTTATGATTACTATATTAAAGTTTTTGTCGTGATGGTAGAAGATTACTACTTGTGATATTACTTTTTATGCGTTGCATTTGTGGTGTAATTTGAATTCAAATGACTCGCAATCCTAAAAGAAATTTAGACACTTTTAGGCATCTTTAATATGTCTTAATATTTCCACAGAATTAAAAATATAATATGATGGGATTGTAAATTATCTTCTTGAAAAATAATACTTAATTAATACTTTTGTGGCTGTTTAAAAGTTATAAGCCAAAACCATTAATCATTTTTACTACTTTACGATTCGTGATGAATCATATCGATAATAATAGAAAGATCTGTAGAACAAAACATGATTAAAAATTTAGAGAACAAAAAAACATGTTGCTTGATGCGAAAAAAATAATTAAAAGATTATTTTTATCATTATTTTTTTAAATATATTACATGTTTCACATTATATAACAATGCAATTCGAAACGTTATTGAAATTTTCACAATAAAATATTAGCTAAATTTGACGCCTAACTACATTTTTTAACTTACCCACAACTTTCTATCCTTATAGTGATTTCCGAATCTAATTTCATCTCGCAAGGATGAGTCTGGCTCATTGCATATAATAGCGAACCACTTTTACCTTGACAACCGAGCTCCATGATTATATTCTCAGGAAAATTCACTATCGTTCTGCCGGTTGGCACTAGTAGTAATAACAACGCCGCTAAGCCTCCGAATATGGAAAATACCGACAGTAAAATCTGCCCGAAAAAATTGCCGAAAAGATTTTATTAATGTTTCATATTCTCTGTATATGTATGTGTATGTAGTACATATGTTAAAAAAGATATGAAATAATGCGAGTAAATGTACAACGGTAATAATAGCACAGCACAGATTCAAATAATTTTACTTTATACCGATTTGTAATCTGTGTTAAATAGAGTTTCTTAATTGTATATGTATTGACATACTTAGTAGTTGTTAGAAAATTATTTAACTTACTCTGAAATTTCCTATTCGATCGGCTAACATACCGGCAAGCGGCGGCATAACTATAGCTACAAGAGGAGTGATGGCACTCATTATTGCCGTTTCTTCTACGTTTATTCCCAATTCTCTCATGTGAATAGTTAAATATGGATACAACACATAAATAGCTGAAGAAATTAAATAGAATTCGTTATTAATTTTATTAAATTATTTTATTGTACATAAGCAATAAGAAAGAAAAAAAAAGATGCATGTTATTAAATGTAATGAAAAACTCTTTAGTAAATTACTTACTGGATGCTTGCACAAAAAATATTAATTTTAATGGCATCAACTCTTTTTGATGGAAATCTTTGCTTATCCTTCCGAAGAAAGTCTTCAGCATCATTTTAACGTATTTTGTATGTTTTTGAATTTCGATTGAAATCAATTAATCTAACTGAAGTAATCAGTTTGTATTGTGCATATTTCTTTTGTACTTCACGTGTGCATTCTCATTCTTCCTGTTTACCATTGAAAAAGAGCATTCGCGATATTTCTTAAAATAATTTTTTATAAATTGATTTTATGCATAATGCAATTTTTGCTTAATTATAAAATAACACTTTTATAAATAATGTGAACGATAATTTATAATTTCTCTCTTTCCTATAGAAATATATGCAATAATTATGACATATACTATAGCAAATACTGCATCGACATGAATGTCATGTCTTTTACATAACGGTTTCACAATACATTCTACTTTGTACATACATATCAATTTATTCTCGTTAAAATAAGTTTGTAAAAAACATTTATTTTAACTATAATTGAACATAATGTTTAATATCAAGAAAATTCGTAATGTATTTGATTCATTATAAAAGATAATATTTAAAAGATAATACTTTAAAAGATAAATATTTAAAAATTTGTTATTAAAAATTTATTATTTAATTGATACTATTATTTTTTCAGTTGTAACCATAGTCGCATTGTTAAAGAATATTATCATATTGCTTTATCTATATTGTAACTTATATATATATATATATATATATATATATATATATGCGCGAAAAATACTTATTATTATAATTGTTAGTCATTACCGATGTTGAAAGCAAAGACCATTCTTGTTTTAATTGCATAACATATATTTTAGCCGACTGTGTGGAAGAAGGCGAATATTATTGTTTTTCTAATATATTATTCAAGAGAATGTACTTTTAAATTATAAATTATCTAAAATAAATCGCGATCTTTTGAAAATATGTTTGATAAAATTTATAAGTCTCACATATCCATTAATAATCATCTATACATTAAAATTTTATAATATAGCAAACACACACACACATTTGAAGAAGTAAACTATATACCTATATAAAATACATTTCAAAATGCACATACATTAGAGAATATGCAGTACATGAAATTATAAATAAATTTCTATTTTGAAAACCTTTTGTGGCAAATTATAAATTGTTTTATGTTAATTTCAATTCTTAAGATAAAAATATTTGAAGCATACTACTTGTAAAAAACTATATTAAAAGTATAGCATAATTCCTCGAATAGAAAAAAAATTGAAAAGCGAGAGAAAAATTGCGTACCTTCTTTTTAAGTGTTAATATTGAATACCGTAGAAGGAAATCTAATCCGTACGATGTGATGTCAAGCGCAATACTGACACCTCAGGATAAATCAGTGACGAACTGTGAAGAGAGAAACAGCGCGCATATAATCCAACAGATTAATCCTTTCTAAATGCAACAGCACGACTTCACAAATTTGCTGTGTAACAATTGTCTAACAAATAATAATCTAATAATTTAACTTCAAAGTAGTAAGTACACACGAAATACAATTTTAAATTATTACAAATTTATGTATGTATAATTTATTATTTAGATTCCGCAGTGACTTATGGGACTTGTGAGTACATTTTGCACGTACATTTACAATGTTATTTTTGGCATTTGAACAACTGTTTTTAATGTTAATATGATACATTACATATGATAAATTTGATATTATATAATTTTTTAAATAAATCGCGCTCTTTGTGATAAATTTTTTAATCCTTCTTTATAATAAATTGAGCTAAAACATTACAAAGCATACTAAATCTTTTTTTCTTTCTTTGTTTCTTGTTTTTTCTTTGATTTAATGCGATGAGAATGGTTCTCATTGCGAACAAATTATCGACTAAATCCTTGACACGCATCAATGTGCCGTTATTATTTGCGATAGATGCTATATAGTTCTTTAAAGTAGATATAGTAACTATCTAAAGCGACGATATCATGTTAGTCAGAACGGAATTATTGTGTTTGATGAATAAATAATAAACAAAATAATAATCAAAATAATAATCAAAATATTTCGATAAAACCAACCTGGCTAGCTGAATGACAATTTACAGTATTGCAAAAACTGGAAATAATTAACCATTATATTATGTATAATTATATTAAATATTGCACAACAGCTCATTTTCACAGAAAAATATTAATAAGTTATATAATATATGTATATATAAAGTGCATAAATCTTATGAGGTTGTGTTCGAAAGGCTAATCGTCAAAGTAAAGCAGAGTAAAAATGTCTTTTGTCCTGATTGGTCAATCAAAGGTTACTTTATCTTGACGGTAGATTTTCGAACAAATGTCCTCTTACGGCATGTGACGGTAGACGGTAGTGCCAATCAAAAATTATTATTTCGATATGGTCTAATTTGTGATGAAACGTCAATTTTTAATGTGACTAACAATATTTCCTTGATTTTTTTTTATATCGTAAATACGATTGCATGCATATACAATTATACGATTATATTATTTTAATGATAATTCATTAAGAATTTTGTAATTATTTTACAAGTTAATAAGTCAATAATTAAATTAATCGCAATTTGATCGAAATGATCATAAAAATCGAGTTGTGTCGATTTGTCACTTGAGCATGTATTATGTTATGTTAACAATTGATCTGTTATTTCATTATAAAGCTTCCTCTACTTCTGATTTTGTTCCAGGTTCCAGGTATTCTCTTGAACGCGATATCAATATATATATGGAATAAATAAAATTTTATTATCCTTTAATCAGATATTGTTGATATTGTTCATAATGTAAGTAACAATTTATAATTCGTTCGTGATTTTTTTCAGTGAAATGCTTTTAAGATTTTTAATGTTATTATTTTTGAACAACAATATATCATCAGCATAAGTCGTCTTAAGATGTCTACAGATTACAGCAACAGATATGTATTTAAAGCTGAATGGTACGACAAAGTTGCTTGCATAATGAAAAAATTTTATCTGTATTATTATCCATCTAACAATACTATCGAATTGGTATGTATCAAGTTAGTATTTTTAGTACAATAGTTTAGTACAAATTCATATTGCAGAAAAGAAAATTGTTTATATAATCTTTATATTTCAGTTTGATTTAAAAACAAAGAAGACCTTTCTAAAAAGGACCATATGTGAAGGCATTAAAGCTAAAGATTTTTATATTGGTGCTATAGTAATAATATTTTCCAGATGCATAAAAATTATGGATTATGCAGATAATTATACTAAAATCAAGTTAGAAACACAACTGCAAAAGTAACGCAAAGAATTTATTTTATATCTTTTATGATTTATCATATAAAATTTCTCGCTGCATCGAGGTAATTTTATTTTCCCAGATTTTTTGTACTTTTGAAACCAGATGTTATTGATAAAATGGGTGAAATATTTAAAATTATTACAAATCACGATTTTCATATTACAAATATGAAAATGATGCAATTAACTCCCACTGAAATTGCAGAATGTTATTTTATAAAAGATGCAACTGATAAGGTGTAAGATGAATCTTGGATTATAACAGTGCTCTGAAAGAGCTCTGAAAGTATGAACTATTACTATTATTCAATAAATTTGAAATACTATAATGACAAGTTTATTTAGGTCTATGATAAATTATCTTACCTCTGGCCCTGTTGTTGGTTTGGAACTATTAGGAGAAAATGGTATATCAAGATGGCAAGAATTAGTAGATCCAGAAAATTGTAAACACGTTTATCCCACAGCTACATCTTCATTAAGAGCTTGTTGTGGAAAAGATGAAATATATAATTCTATATATGGATCTAAGAATATCGAAATAGCAATGCAAGTACGAATTTTAATATATAATTTTTAACTTAATGTTTAACGTAGCATTTCGATCTAATATCTGATATCATATTTTCAGGAGTTGCAACATTTCTTTCCCAATTTAAGAAATAAAAAAGGGCTAAAAACTACTGCAATTCTGCAAAATTGCACCTGTTGCATTATCAAACCACATGCTGTACAAGCAAGGCTTGTTGGTAAATTGAACATTTTATTAATATATCATTGTGAAGTATAATATCTAAATAATGGAATTCTCACATATTATTCTGTAGCATCTTTTACTTTATCTGACATTATATATATTTCATTAAATTAATTCTTATAATAGGTGCCATTATTGATGATATTCAAAAGGCAGACTATATAATTACAGCTATACAACAATTTCATATTAATGTAATTAATTCCGAGGAATTTTTGGAAATTTATAAAGGCGTGCTTCCTGAGTATACTGTATGTTTTCATTTCATATTTATTTTACAAATAATTTCTGAAAAAGAAAACACTCATAAATATTTATTATAGGCAATGGTAGCCGAGTTACAATCTGGTCCATGCGTTGTTATAGAAATAAGTCGTAAAAACGAGGACTCCAATATTGTTGCTGATTTTAGGAATTTTTGCGGTCCAATGGATCCAGTAAGTATATATTACTTTAATTACTTTGTTTGATGTTATAGATATTTATTATAGATATTTATTTGATGTAGGATATTGCACGGCAAATCAAACCAAATACGCTTAGAGCAAAATATGGAAAAACAAAAGTACAAAATGCTGTACATTGTTCCGACTTGCCGGAAGATGGTGTATTAGAGGTAATAAAAACTTTAATCATTTTTCCACATATCTTGTATTATTTATATATATTAAATATTTTCAGGTTGAATATTTCTTTAAGATACTTGAGGGATAAAAGCAATTTGAGTGATTAAATATTCGAATATGCTACATTTTTTGCATCATATAAATTATTAATAAAAAATATTCATTTTAAAATTTAACAATTATTAAACAAATTATTTTTTTAAAAACATGTTTATATGTACTTTTTGTACTTGTAACAAAATAAATGTGTTTCTTTTAAAAAGATGTAATTTATTTTATCGCTATGTAGCATATTTATCTTGCTTCCTCCACGAACATGTGTAAAATCTATTCAGAAGATAAAAAAAAATGTGTATATTTTTATTAGAAATTCTTATAACACACGCGTTACGTGATAGAAATACTGTAACCAATCAATCTGATTTTCCATGAAAACGAGTAATTAAAAATGATGAATTAAAATCGAATTGATTCTAAAGATCCCGCGCGAAATTCCAGCCTGAGGATAACCAATCTTGAGAAATAAGTTTTGAGTCTTTGGTTGCGATCAAGAAGCACAGACAAATGTCTGTGTCAGGAAGACACTCCGGATGCTTTGGAGCGTTTGATTTACCAATCAGGATCAAAAGGAGTAAAGATTATTTTAACCTAATTGATCTATCAAAAGCTTCAAAGCATCCAGAGTGATCAAAAAATGATCCAAAACGCTCGTTTGTTATTAATATAATTATTTTTATTAAATAAATGAAAATAAATGAAAAATAAGAAAGAAAGAAGGAAATGTTATTTCTTCTCTGCACTCCAATTACCGCGTTGTAACTATTTGCCAATTTCAATTTAATTTTTATTTAATTATTATTATTTAATTATTAATTGTTATTATTTAATCATTAATTACTATTATAATTATTATTTGAGCCAAATTTCAAATTATTTAATTATATAATGATAAATGATAACAATAGAATAATAATTAATATTGCGCACATTTTGCTTACTGTGATATTATAGATATATAAATAATAAGTAATTATTAATGTATCTCATAAATGTAATATATGTGTAACATATGTTATATTGAGCAAAACCCGATATTCCAATTGCCAATTGAACACTAGAACCTTCTGATTGATCAACCACGTTGGTTATTTTAGACTGACAATAAATCTATAGATATCAGATAATATAAGGATGTGTATTATCGAAATGTGTGCTAATGAAATCTCCCCTTATCGTAGTTATATCGTAGTTATATCTCACATAATAAACGATTGATTCAACATAATTAAATAAATAGTATCATATATATATATATATATATATATATATATATATATATATATATAATACCATATATTGTAAAAATAATTTAATTTAATTTATTAAAAAATTCAAGATATATATTTACATGGAAATTAAACTTTTATTTTTTGTATTTTTCAAGTAGACAATAATAAATTCTACGAATAAATTTTTAATTATCCTGTCAGTTCTAAATAATCAATTTAATATTCTTGTAATGTTCTAGTTTTAGTATGTATGTACATTTAATGTTTAAGATTGATCAAGCGAACCTTGACAACCAATCTTGGATCTCTAAGCAACGTATGAACATTTTTACAAGACAACACACTTGAGGCTTGACTGGCATGCACGCACGCATGCATGCGTGAAAGATGAAAGAAATGCGATTTTGACAGTTCTGATTGATTTGGTTGATACAGAGAAAACGCGTTTTCGTGATAGATTGTAATTCTTGACTCGTGATTACATTTTATAATTGAATCGGGTACCTCTCTCATCGGATAGTGATCTGCAACTCTGTTTGAAACGTATTTTAATTGGAATTTCCATGAGGTTGTTAAAATTCTTACTTCGTTACTTTCCACCAGGTAAGTAGATGACATATTATCGAATGCGTTAATGTTGTTCGTTTATAGTCAAAATTCGAATTTCTTTGTAATATTTAGAAAGTAAATATTAATAATATATTAATATTTTATATATATATATATATATATATATATATATATTAAATATTAATATATTATTAAATTAGTACTAAGAAATTTTTATTATGTAACTAATTTAATAAAATATATTAAAAAGTAAAAATTGCACAATGCCGATTTCATGAATGAACTAAAAATAATATACTTGCATTTGATTTTTATTAAAATTTTTAATTTGCATTGTACATTAATTAAAAAAAGTATCCTTGTGATTTCAAAAGTACTTGATAATATTAATGCACTCGATTGTACAAGAATTATTTACAATGTCAATTAAAAATTTTAATAAAATCGTGCAAATATATTATTTAATTCATGCACGAAATCGATATTGTGCAATTTTTACTTTTTAATATATTTTATTAAATTAGTTATATAATAAAAATTTCTTAATACTAATTTATATTAATAAGAAAAAATGCAGAAATCAAATTTAAAATATAATCAAAATTGAATTAATTTAATATTTTCGACATTAATTTTAAATGTTCTTTTTTTCTAGGTCTCGCGTTAGAGTACACACAAGGCGGTGATATCAAAACAAAAATGATCGATTTGTTAGATTTATCCGCTGGGTAATAGAATATACTTTTATTATAACTTTTATTATTCATAATTTTTAAGTAAAAGGCAATGAAAAAAGAAACTAAAGTTTTATTTACCATCGTTATTTCATTTTCGTTTTTGTTTTTATTATATTTAAACATCGAACTATATGCACATTTGATACGTGCTTTCGGAGTAAAGCGAGAAATTATACGATTTACTTTCCAGAACGGACATAAGAGCATTAGCGGAGAGCATAAAAGCAGCTGAACCTGTAATAACCGAAAGTGTAATGGACCAGTTAGTCGAAACTCTGCAGAAACTACAGACTAAAGTTTGCGATACAAACGCCAAACGCTACTACAAATATAAAACCTTACAGACCCATCTTTTGCCAGTCACTAATATAGCATTTGATAAACTAGGTAAAAGGTACTTCACATTAATACTGTTGCTTAATTGTTTATAAAATTTATAATTCATAAAATTTCAACATATTTTTTATGTTATTTATATATTCCAATGCATATGATAGTTGCTAAATCGATTTAAAGCCATTGTAATTGAAAGAGGATATAAGAGTGATTTAATATTAAGAATAAATAAATATTGTGCATCACGTACTTTATTGAAATAAAATATATAATCGTACTTTATTGAAATAAAATATATAATCGATACATTTGACAGATGCTTGACAGGCAGCTATGACCGAACTTGTAAAGTTTGGGACATTGACAGTGGAACGGAGCTTTTTACTCTCGAAGGCCATAAGAACGTGGTCTACGCCGTCTCCTTCAACAATCCAACTTCGTAAGTCACGATAATCAAAGTTAGTTTGCAACAACATTGATCCAGGTTGAAAGTAAGATGACATTATAACTTAGTGGCTAAGTTATTCTTTTTACGTGCTTTCTACCACATGTTGTAATGCGGTAATAATTGAATTAAATTTATTATCGTTAGGTTATCTTTATCGTTTCAGAGACAAAATTGTGACTGGATCTTTTGACAAAACGGCAAAAGTCTGGTGCTCGCGGACAGGTCACTGCCTCATGACTATGTGGGGTCACGATGCGGAGGTGGTGGTAACTAAATTCTCACCGACGCAATGCAAGCTCGCGACTGGCTCCATCGACGCGACATCAAAAATATTCCATATAGAAACTGGTATTGAAAATATTGCAGTGTTATCTTACATAATAAATACGCGCCGACATATGGTTTGTAATCGATTCAACGCGATCGACTACTATCGAATCTCTATTTCTCGATGTGCGAACATTGCGGAAGCAATTAATGTACTGTTGCTTATTGTGTTTAACTATTATTGGCTTATGTTATCACAATGATAGCCTGATATTCTAATTAAACCATCTTACATTAAGATTAAATTGTTGCGAAAAATTTCCAAAATTTTATTCATCCCTAAGATGTAATTTAAAGGTAATTTACTATTACATAATTTAGAATATTAATAAAATATTAATTACTATTGATCTTGGAATCATTTTATAACTTCCATGAAATAATTAAATTTTATTTTCTGTTTTTAAATAAACAAATTGGATTAACCAAGCATCTTGATTTTACTATTTAATCATTTGTTAATTAAGTAAAGTTTATCCAAGATACGTACTTTTTTTTAAAATAAAGTAATGCTATACTAGTATGTCATATTATTTTATATAAGAAACACAAACAGATTTCTATTCGACAGGTCAAGAGTTGGGTACGTTGAAGGGCCATACGGCGGAAGTTATTGCATTGCATTATAACAATGATGGAAATCAGATTATATCAGGTTCTTTCGATGGGACAGTGAACATTTGGGATACAAGAATTTTCGCGTGAGTATTGAGTTCTCTTTCTTATCTTATATTACATATCTTATCTTAATGCTAGGCCTTAAACGTAACGCGTGATTTGCCTTAAAATTTATTGTCATAAAATAATTGTCAATATCAAGAAATATAGTACATAACTGCTTAAAAGAGAGAGAGAGATTTTTATGGAATCAGTACGTATCAGTTGTTATCTAATATATACAAGCTAGTATCATTGTTATTAGTTACTATAATTACAAGTGTTATTTACACATAAAATTATATTTTCTTAAAATAATACTTTTTTTCATATCATATCATACGTTAAAGTTGATCGAAAATAAAAATATTTTTACTAATAATTAGACGAACGAGTGTATTGATTGGACATCACGCGGAATTGTCCAATTGTATTTATAATTTCGACTGCTCGTTAATCGCATCATCTTCGATGGATAAAAGCGCGAAGATATGGGATGTAAGAATGAATTCTTGCTTAGCTACCTTGCTGGGACATGACGACGAAGTTTTGGATCTCGCTTTCGGGAATAATGACAAAAAATTGGCAACAGCTAGCAGCGACACTACCGCGCGAATTTGGGATATAAGCAACAATTTCCAACAATTAGCACTAATGAAAGGTCATCGAGAAGAAGTTTCACAAGGTAAATTTTTTATTGCAAATAGATATCTCACGATTATCTCACATCCATTTCAATGTACTTCAAATTCTCACGAATATATTTATAGTTTGTTTCAGTCCAAATGGCCATCAACTTTTAACTGCCTCCTTGGATAAA